AGAGGTAGGTTCAGTTGAATCAATAAGTTCTTCAAATGTATTGTCTTCGTCCATTAAACAGTGAAATTAAGTAAAAAAAAATCTAAAGGTGGATAATACAGTGACATACCAAAGAATTACTGCTATATATACACTTTGTATTGATCCTTGAGAAAAATATTGTTCTAGAGTACCAATAGAAGCGATTACACTAAATACTAATGATGCATTACAAATAAGCCAAATAAGCACAAAATATGCTCGAATCTTTTTCCGAAATTCTTCGATCTTTTTTGCATCATTTCCTTTATTTGTTCGCTGCACATCTTCATTTTCTTGTTGTGTGTCTATATTTTCTTGCCGATAAAGAGAGGAGACTTGAGACATTTCTCCCTCGCAGGATACAATAATTTGATCTAATTCATCATCTTCATCTGTTTCTCTATTTCCCCAACTACAATTTATAAATGAATTAATAATTGAAACAAAATAATAAGAGAAAATTTTTTACTTCACATTACCTTATATCATGAATATTACAAAAAGCATAAACATTTAAAACATATATGTAAAATGGGATCAGAAAAATGTATTGTATAAAACATAGAATCATATGCAAGACATCACCCATTATAAAACTTGCAATCAAATATATTATAAATGTGGAAAGCAAAGGAAGCATCATATTCCAAAAAACATCATAATAAAAAATAGCAATAAATCCATTATCGTTAACGTTCGGGACTATTTCATATAGGATGCCATTAATTGTAAGCCAAGAACCAGCAAAAAGAGTATAACCCATAATAATAGCAAAACAAATAATTGAAATGTAATTGATCCATTTAGTGCTAATAAAAAATTTTTACAATTTAAGAATGAAAATAGCATGTAATATTGCATTGTCGATAACACACATTAACTTAATTATATTTACCTTTGAGGCCTATTACTCATGGATAAGATGAACTGTCCAGTAACTAATATAAAATAAACATATCTTAAGACTACAAATATAGTTTCACTAATTGATGGATTCCAAGGGAGGGGGATGAGATCTTGAGGGGTTGCAAGTGTATTACATAAAATGTAAAATGTTAAGTAAAAATTTCCCTAGAAAATAAAAAATTTGTAAATAAATGATAACATTTAAATGGTTAATTAATAAATTTAAAATTTACCAATGCAAACCATGAAAATAAAAGACTAAATGTTTGATATATAATTTGAATGAAAAAAAAGAATTTACATATGGGCGAATGCTTACTCCTCCATATATTATAAAAATGAGAAATAGCGTAAAGACTAGCAAAGAATGTTCCATTTAGCCAACGTCTACGTTGCGAAATAAATCCGGATATTTCTTCAGGTACATCTGTTTCAGCCTGAGAAAACTTATTATAATATAATAAGAATTTTTTATTACGCTTTGTAAACAACTCAAAACAAAGTATACGGTCTTCAGCAAGATACATATTAGCCGCAACGATGCTTTTAATGAAACCTTTGATTGGTTGGTCCTTGAAATAAGAAACCAGAGGACCTTCGTCATTATCATTTTCATCCTTTGTATTCTCAAGAGCACTATACCGATATGCAGAAAAGGCTCCAGGCAAAACAGTAATATATCCGAGGACATGTTCGAGTGGTTTATCTAAAATGTTGGACATTTTATATTCGAAATTCTGGGCACTCCATATTAATTTGTAAATCCACTTTTTCCACCCTCCACCTTCTCTCATGGCTACTATTTCACCACAAGCACCTGCGATTTCTTCATTTGAACGAAATATATTCCACAGGTCATAAATGGCATTTTCTCCTTTAGCAATTTAAAAAATATTTTTTAAACAGATATTAGAACCTAATGTATTTTTATTCCTTTTGCAAGAAATAACTTTGATTCAATAAATTAAATAATCAGTAATAATTACTACACGAATGCTAACCTGGTACAGTGCCAACATCAAGTAGGACACATATTTTGGGGTTAAGTATTGGACTGAATGCATTAAAAATCCAGCGATGAGAATTAATTTTTTTGGTGTTCTTTTCCTTGAGACAAAAAATCACTTGGATTGGAATGATTTTATCTTTAACTGGAATCACGGTTGTATATTCGAAGATATGTGCTTCAACTTTGCGACCAACTACGTTATCAACTGCGATTCCTTTCTTATAAACACCAATTGAGGATAAATAATTTAAAGAGCTTTTGCTGATCCTTTTACGACCATCAGCAATTATGCATATAACGATTTTTTTCCATGTCCTGTGTTCATTCTTATGAATTTAAATTGAAAAAATAAGTAGTCAGATCTTAAGTTTAAGCTTAATTTATTCGTAATAAAATAAAACAATAAAATAAAATAAAATAAATAACAAGAAATACCCAAATTCCAGTTCCTTTGGAAACTTGTGAATAAAAGAAATAAATATTTTTTGCGATCGCATTAAAAGTTCGAGACAATTGACTTCCTTCTTCCTATTGTTAAAATAATATTTGTTTTTACCCGCAACCGAAAAATTAAGCTTATATAATTTAAATAAGATCTACATTCTTACATCATACATAGTTACCGCAATAAATATTTCTGTTTCTCTGTATTCGAGCTGGCGTTGACGAAGAGTAAACTTATTTCTCACAAAATTGTCTGGCTTGCATGTGCAGGCTGTATATCTAATATGCGTAAATTCAAAATCATTTTCATTTTCTCTCAATTGATACTTTAAGTTTTGTCGTTCAGACACACGATAATCTTTAACAAAAGTCCCTGTCTCTCGTAGCCATCTTGATGATTCTATTGGTTGCTGAATATCTGGCATGATTTGCTCGGATGGTTGCTGAATATCTGGCACGGTTTGCTCGGATGGTTGTTGAATATCTGGCACGTAATTACCGGTTTGCTCGGATGAAGGTCCTCTTCTACTTTCATTGCAAGACATAATGATACAAAACTACAATCAGTTATAAAACAAATTTTCTCCAAAACGCTCTTTATTAAAGAAATTATCCGGAGTTTCTTGCATACTATCCAGATAGCCCTGCTGCATTTTCAACGTGATCATGAATGATAATCTTGGGATCTTCAATTCATTTTTTTTACAAGATCTTCGCTTGTATGTACGTACGTACGTACGTAGGAGTTTTAATACCGATATTCATATCATACCATAATTACTTGTTTAAAATTTATCGATTACATTGTTTCGGTCAATTTAAATTTCTTTTGTGAAAAGTTTATGTAATTTAGCGCATGTGCGTTGTAACCCACCCGTCTGATCAGATTGTAATATTAGGCGTAACGCAAAATCGAAAAAAATAGGGATGTTTCTAAAAAAATCGCATGTAGCTCATAATTTTGCTTATGAAATCTTAACAAAAAAATTTTCTTGCAAAGTTTTGAGGTAGGGACGTTATTTACTAATATTCTACTCCAACCTATCTTAACGCTAACTCTAACAGTCAGCCGGTAGTGTTTGTAGTCGCCCTTTATTTATCGACTTGACTAAGTCAATATTTAAAAATCGGCTTAGCCGACTATATGACTTTAATTGGTTAATTAAAAGCACTTAAAAATAATATATATACATATATATAATTTGCTAGTAGTAGGTAGTATTTGTAGTTAACCTAAATCTCGAAATTTACAAATCGGCTATAAAAGTTATTCACCTTTAGTATGTGAAATAAATTCATACAGAAAGGTCCCAAAATCCAGGCCGGAAAGTATCGGAATCCTGGTCTGCTGGCCAGAATTGATCAATTTTCCCAAGATCACTAAAAATTTTACTAATGAAATCATAGCCGTTCGTTAAGTAAAAAATGTCCAGCTGATAATTTTGCTCTAGACTAAAGACGCTGGTGAAATACCAGGAACGAATGCATATGAGTGTATGATTTATACGGCAACTTAAGGATATTTGTTCACAAAATCTTGAGTCTGATTGGTCCGTGTGCTCTGTTCATCACACATTGCCATATATTGTATGTTTTACACTTACCATTGCATAACATCTTGTATATCTTTATACGATATGGAACTTGAATGATTTGAGTGAACTACCCCAAGAACACCCCGAAAAATTCTGCGCGTTCTAACAAAAAAACTCCTCGCCAATTTTAGTATACGTCATGCCCTATTATGGCACTAACTCTAATCCTAACGTTAATGTTTTATTGCTTTAAATCTTTCATTTATTCGATTGTTTTGATTTTTACATTTTCATGTTACACCTGAACTCAAAATCTGATTGGCTGATCTGCAGGATTTTTTGGGGGTAGTTGATTTGAGTGTACTTATACACGTGAGCATATAGTTTTTGTAACCGTTTTGTGTATAGCTTTGTTTAAAAACCTAAACCATAGTACAATTACAGATTCCGTAACAAGTGATAGTAAAATCAAGATTCTTAAGCATAAATATCGGTGACCTGATGCAAATTTTTGTATGCATTTGCTAGATTTTCCAAAATTTTGAATCAAAATTCATTGATGCTGGGCTAATATGAAGCAATAATAACCAATCAAGTCTATAGATCATATAGTTTAGATGCGAAGTTGTTATTTTTGAATAATCCTTGATTAATATAAAATGAATTAATCTGCATCTTAAACCTCGTAATATGTGTATGAAGTGGCTGTTAAATTCGACAGTTAATAAATCTTAAAAAATAGGTGAATGAATAAATATATAAATGCGACAATTTTGAGTGCTGAACAGCAAAATCAATTAAATCCAAAGTTATCAAGACTGCAAAGTTTTGATTATTGTTAAATATTAGTCATCAGTATTCGATATTTGACAGGCTACGTTGCTTATCAATTTATAAATTGAAATTACTACATACTAACAGTTATAGGTTTTTGTTAAAATTTAGGGTTAGAGTACATTTTAAAATCAAGACCAGGTCAGATATAGTAGCCCGAATTTTAGGTTACATAGGATTTTCAGTCAAGGAAGATAAGATCTCAACACTAATATTCACCTTAATCATGAGCTGCTTGATTTACTTGATCAAATTATTCGAAACACAAGTCCATATGCTCAAGCATATAAAACTATGCAAGAAATTTCAAATATAGAAGATCGATGTGCTCAATTAAAAAAAAATAGCTGCTAAATGTAAAAATAATTTTTATTCATAATCAGCAATTAACTTAACCCCATATATCTTTTTTTTAAAGTTTTACTTATATTAGATAACTTTTATTAATAGAATTCTGCTTATTTTAATAGTGTAAACTAATTATTTTAAAATTTTTAAATAATTATAATAAGTAAAATATATTAATTAATAAAAAATTATTTAATTTAACTTTTGAATAACTTTACTTAATATATGAATATCAAGTTATATAATAAAATTTGACTTTACTATATAGCAACTATTAATATTCTTAAAATAAAATAAATATACAGGGGTGACAAAAGGTTTTACACACCTAAGGACTTGGCTTATAACTCAAAAACTTACTAATTAATTTATATCCTTAACTTGACTATATGAAACCGTATC